GTACAGGGGCACGATCACTTCCCCAGTAGCATAGTAGTAGAAGTGCCCCACTTAGGTGGTATGTCTAGCTTACATTTACTACTTTGAGTTCTTTCAGGCTTTTTTTTGTTTGTTGGCTTAATTATACAGTGTTTTCTTTTGTTGTGCTGGCTCCTGCTTTCTGTAGTCTGGGTGTCCTTATGCTCTGACACCTTCCCCTTTTTTGTCTCTGAATGTATTCTGAAAAGTCATAGTGTTAGGTCTCAAAAATGTTAGTTCACGTGTATTAAAATGACTGTTACAGAAAGATTTGTGCAGACTCTGATCAGTACTTCTTAAAGAATTGTTCCCTTTCTTTCAAGCTTTGATCAGCAGTATACTCTTAAATGATAATTCAGCATTTGAGCTACTACTCTGTCAACCTGAGTGAAACAGTCCATACTTACAGATTTTTCTAGTGTAGCCTTATTATTTGCAAAATTGGGGAGATATTAGTTCCTCATGTAATATCCAGTTCGTATTTTAAGTCTTTAGTCTTAAAGGCTTTAAAGACGTGCTTCTTCACAGAAGGGTTAAGCTGAAATTTTAAAAGAACTGGTAGTTTCAGGATTGAAAGAAGATACAGGATTTTCTGAAATGGCCTGCCCTCATTTGTACACCGAAAGTGAAAAATTTTTTCCTCAGCTTCCTTTATACCAGTCATTGACTGCTTTTATTCTTGCCATCTTTTCTTTAAAATATATATTGTAAAAAATATTGTATGATCTCATATGAGAAACTTTCAGAATGTCCATTTTATAGTCTTTACCAAGCAAGTTTAGTAGAAAGAAGAGATGTAGGTGAGTAGTACCTCACACTAAATTTCAAGGTGAGAACCAGAACATACTCGGCTGATACCACATTTCTTTCTCTGTCACTTTCCTATCACAAACTAGTATTTTATTTTTGCTTTGCCTGCCCCTTCCAATTGAGCTATCCATGTACATTTTTTTTTCCTGAGATTTTACAGATACTTTAGAAACTGATAAAACAAGGGTTAGCCTATCTTTTACACAACAAAAGCTAGAGAATAAAACGTGTCGTGTCAGAGCTACAGACTTCTGGACTGAAGTGTAGCATGACTGAGTGGCTCCCTTTTTTTTTTCCCCCTTCCTTCCCCCCTCTCTCTTCTTCTTTTTTTTCTCCTGAGGATTAAGTGCATGCCCAAACAATTGGTGCTTTTCAGGTGTCTTGCAAGTCACTGCAGTTTTACAGGGTGTTGATCATGGTTTGAAGCCTTAATGTGTGGGTTTGAACAGTCTTTGACATGCAAAATAACCTTTGGTTTAGGGAAAAATTCCAGTTTGTAATCACATTCCATAAATCTGTAATCATAGTTAGAGTTGCATCCTTCTACCAGTCTGTTATGCCTGCTGATATAAAGGGATTACACAAAGATCAGAGATAAAAACGTAAAATTATTCCACACATACTATATGGTCTGAGACCCTTGTCTGGACTGAAACAGACAGCTGATTTCTGCTCTATAAAATACCCTCCTACACTTGCTGCAAAATATCTGCAGAGGTTTAAACCCTTGTCTTAACCTCGCTATGACTTTGGAAAAGTCAGTTTCCCTAGTTTTCGATTTCATTGGACTTTCAAAGCTGCAGGTACTTTCAAAAGTAAAGGTACTTGTTTTCAGTGGAAAAAAACTGTCAAGATAACTTCGAAGTTAATGTTGATGTCCATTTGCCTCTCATGTCCTGTTCCTTTTTCGCTAACCATAATTTAAACTTTTCTCCAGTCCTTTTCTTTAAAATAAATAAATAAAAATCAGTTCATGAAGGTCCAGAGTGTGAGGGAAGGGAGTTCAGCTTTTCTTCCCATCACAGTGTTATTCCAGCCCTGGCTTTCTCATCTGGGCTGCATCTGCTGCCAGTTTCAAGAGATGCAGGTGCATTGTAGTGATTTTTGGGACGTGGCTGTTAATCGTTGTGGACCAGAGGCATCAGGCAGTTACTTAGCCCTGCATACAAGTGGGAGAAGGGGAAGAAAATAGGGGACGTGAAATTTCTTGCCTGTTTTAGACTGTGGCTTTGCAAGTTAGCAGGAATTTGAAGAAGCAGGACTGTCTCCTGGTTCAGTTGGCTCTGCTGGGTTCAGTTGGCTCTGCTGCTCATTATGAAACACTTCAGAGCTTTCCAGGACCGGTGAAGTGGGTGAAAGTGACAGCCTGTCACTGATAAGACCGCTGCTCCCAGCTGTCACAGTGGCTTTGCCTTCTGTGGTTTGATGAACCCTCAGAGCAAAAACACTGTTTACACTAATTCTGCTGAGGACTGTAGATTGTAGATTAACCTGCCCCCACCCTCATCTTGCTGTTGAATTGCTGACTGTCAACAGACTGAGTAGTTGTCTTCCTAGATGGGATGACCCATAGAGAGCCTTGCTATAGATCACACTTCATACAAGACTCTGCTTTATCAAGTGTTTTTTCTGAAATTGTGCCCTCTTGTTGTACTTACCCATGCTCCACCTTTAGTACTAAACACACATTTGCATGTCTTGGTTTTAATATCTGTACGTGTTTGCAGGTGCTTGTTACAATCTATGCAGACTATATTGCACCTTTGTTTGATAAATTCATTCCGCTTCCTGAGGGAGAGCTCAAGCAACAAATTGAAACAATGGCAAAGAGCATTGACTTCCCATTGACTAAGGTGTATGTTGTTGAAGGTGAGATCTTTTTATTTAAAAAGACTTTGTAATTTTGAATTTGTGGATTTTTAGCTTTGATTGTGGATGCTGTAGTAGGGCAGTTGCTTATATTCCTCAGCTATTGTAATGCTTGTCAATGTCTGTACCATTTTCCTTTTTTTGCCTTGAGGTCAGAAAAGCGAAGCTGAATGTACAGCCTTAACTCAGCATCTCGTTGGAAGCATTGTCTTGGCTCTATGGAATGGAAATACATAGCACAGTCAGAAATGGAAGCAGCAATCAAGATTCCAATTTTAGAACTTTAGACCAGAGGGAAAAGGTTTTTTTTAATCTTTTCTAGTCCCAGTTTAGCATTAATTGTCTCAAAGTCCTTGGTGAAACAGTTGAAAAAGTTAGGAAAGTTAAAAACACCTATTCCTTCTTAGAGTGTTCACCTGGATGGTTTCTTATGGTATGGCTGGATGGACTCATACTTTCTACTTAAGACCGTAATTTTTTTCACTTTCTAGTAACGAATTTCTTGTCCTCTTTTCTTAGGTCATGGAATATAACATGGAGCATGCCAGCTGCCATGTCACTTCCTCTCCACTTCCATGTTCATGGAGCACTTTACTGTTTGACATTTCCACTGTTACTCGTTTTGCTCCCTTCTGAACTTGATTTCAGGGACTTTCCCAAATTTTGGTTTTGTTTTGTGCCCCACCTGTGAGAATCAGAGGTGTTTTTATTGCCTTGGTGAAAGCAGTATGAGATGGCATAAAGAGCTGAAATGGTAGAATTTTGCTGTAAGAGAGGGTGATGAAGGCTTTATTTAGCCTGGAAGCTGTGGCTTTCAAAACTTTGGGCTAGCCAAATCCAGCCAGTGCTCTGCCTCAGTGCAGCCAGAAACTACTACTATTGATATACTTGGGGCCCAAGAAACTCCTCTCTTTCCTAGCGAAGTTGAAACTTTTCAAGCTTGAGAGTCAGTACAGAGGCTTGCCAAATAGGTAAGTTTTTTCTCATATGCATTGCTGGCTGTATCCTAGCTTTTAACTATGGTGAAAGTCCTATGAGCCAATTGTTGGTACTCTGTCACCTGTGTAGGGTACTACTGCATTGGCTTCTTCAGCTTGTCTGCATTTAGCGGCAGTGATCTGCGGTGGAGGGAGGCTGCCAAACCCCCATTTTCTTTCCTGGCATCCTTAAGACTGTTGAGCCAGCACCATTCCCTTCTGACATGGGGGACTGGATGTGTGAACATCCTTTTGCCAGTGTTTTTCTGCACTGTCTTGGCCCTTACCACTCCAGAAATGACTTCTTTGCAACCAAGTCCTTTAATTTCAGGGTTCATTCTGTAACAGGCAGATTACAAAGGTTCCTTCTCTACCAACACTTAGTGGAGGATGAAGTTTTTTATGATATGCAGATGAAAGGGAACATTGCTACCCTGTGGCTGTTCTTCACTGAGAAAGGACTGAACGCTGAGGCTTCATACTTTGACCAGCCTCTTCCTCTGTTGATCTGTGTTGGTTTGGTGCTGAAGGTTACCATGACCATACCATGGGTTGGCTTGCAGTGGAACAATGGATATTTTGTGCCCTAAGGAGCTGATGCAGCTCATACATTTGTAGTGAGAGTTGAAGGCGTTTGCCTTCAACTTGAAGTATCTTATCTTTTGCTGCAAAAACCAGAGCAATCCACTTCTTCTCTCATAGAGACCTCTTTCAGTCCTGGTGTTGCAACAGCTCCTGTCCATAGGCAAAAACAGGCGAAGTTTAGTTTAACATCTACTTTGATCTAGGCAGCTTTTTAATCAACTGAAACAGTCCGTGTTCCATGGAAGGAGATGAGTTTCTTGGCCCCAAGTATATGGATAGTAGAAGCAGTCCACAATTCACCTGACGTAGATAAAAGCAGCTGTAAAAAATTGCCTATTTCAAGCAAAGTAATTTTGAGGGACTGCCTGATATCTGTAGTTCATCTCTTCATCTTCTTCTTACCTGTTTCTAACATCTTCATCCTTAGCTGTTTCGAATCATCTTTGCTGGCACACTGAAAGAATTCTAAACGTATTTGTCACAGGTCTTTTGCCAGGAGGGCAGCACATGTTCTGTGCAGAATGCTCTTTCCACTCTGAACCTGAAATTGCAATAGAAATTGGTTTCCTTCTGGATATTAGATCTTCACATGACTGCTTTTATGTTTTTAGTGATTTTAGTGATTACATGTTATAGATTAAAAAAATTATTTCTCTATTGGAGTCAGTAAATGAGACCATCATTACTTAGATCATGTGCTTCAGCCTGCAAACTCATTTGCTTGAGTTTGTCTACCATTCATTTGGGGACTTTGAGAATTCCTTTGGAAGAATCTGTTCTGTGTAATATTGCATAGTCTTCAGTGCATGAGATTATTCCGATCATGGTCTTTAATGTAAATTTTCCTCATCAGGTTCTAAGCGTTCTTCTCATAGCAATGCTTATTTCTACGGATTCTTCAAGAATAAGCGGATAGTACTCTTTGACACCCTCCTGGAAGATTATTCTGCATTGAACAAAGAGCCAGCAGAAGGAGAAGATGGTGAGAATGAAGAGACAAAGTCTAAAACCAAAGTGAGTTCATCTTTGGTTTTCATCGTGTTATTTACATTAACTTTTTAGTGAGATATTCCCTTGTGTTTTCTGAATGTATTTTAAAGGTCCTGAATGAGATGCTAAAATCCAAAACCTAATGATTTCAACACCAAAGTATCCCTGAGCTGCTAATTGGAATTTCTAAGGCTGTGTGAGTGGTGCAGATAGCAGCAAAGAGACCACAGAAATCCACAGGGGCTTTAGCAAAACATTGGTTTCCTGCATGTAAAAAATAGGCCTTCCTTGTAATTGAGTAAGGCACCTGTTCAGGGCTTTAGCTCGTGTTCCTTCTCTTGGGACTGCCACACCAAAGCTTCCCTTTGAAGGAAATGCTTTTGACTATCAGTGTGTCATTCGTGTGCCTTTTACTACGCGCAAGAATTTTGGTGCAAGAGGCACGCACATACGCACACACATACAGATCCCACATGTGCATCCTTCCCGGCCCTGGTCAAGAACAGGATGATGGCCTTCCATTGTCCTTTCCATTGACGTGCAGCTGCACATCAAGAGTCTGCTGTAACAGCTTTTTTGGCTTCAGGAGAGTGTAGGAATGGTTAAAACTGATGGAATACTTTCTGAAGAGCCTGAAGGAGTAATTCTGAGAAGGCCTCATGCAGCCTAGTGTTAGGCCAATGTATAGACTGTTGTTCAGTCCTGCTTCTGTTTCTTGTAACTGTGTTGGTGGTGGAATTCTCTTCATCCATGGTTTGGTATGGCAGAAGCGGGTGATGAGAGGAGGGGATTTTGAGCTCACCTGCATTGCAAAATTCAGAGAGCCTTCTCTAGTCATAACAAGAATAATTTGTTCCATTTCAACGGGTTCTTCAGCTATGTTCTCAGTACACAAGCCCACATGCTTGCTTCTGACTTGCTAACGTACCTTTGAAGGTACAGATGTCCGTCTTTCCTAATGATAGCTTTCAGGCATGTCATAGCATTTGTGGCAGAGGACAGGGAAGTTGTCATTCGTTTTTAAAGGAACAGTAGTGCCTTGGGAGGGAAGCTACATGTTGAGTGTTGAAGGAAGTAGGGAGAGGACTTTGCTCTCAATTCTCTGTTGAAAGTCTGTGGCTCTGAATGTCTGCTTCCATTCTAATGCCTTTTCTTGAGTAAAGAAACAGGATGAGATCAAGGGATGGTAGGAGAGTTTGGAAGGCAAATCTTCCAGCGTTCTTCCATGTTTGCATAGGCATGTCTGCATACATAGAAATAAGAGAACACCACCTCATGGTAGAAATCTTGTTGAACTTAAGTTCTTTTTTTTTGTAAGTATCTTCTTGAAAAAGGCTCAGTAAGAAATCAGTAAGAAATAAGTGTGTATCTGCTGGTAGAAGGGAATGGTCTCATCTTACTGATCACACTTAAGCGACCTAGGAAAAAACAAACTAATAAGTAATAAATTTATTCAGTTGTGTTCAGTCATACCTGATATTACTTCTGCTTTGTTATTCCCTCAGAATAAGAAACAAGGATGTAAAAATGAAGAAGTTCTGGCTGTACTTGGTCATGAATTGGGTCACTGGAAACTAGGTCACACTGTCAAAAATATTATCATTAGCCAGGTAAGTTATGATAAACTGGTGGTTTTCCTAGAGCGTTCTGTAATTATTGCTGTTTCCAAATGCCTGCTTCCAGATTTGTAAGTGTCCATTCACACAATATACTTACGCTCTGCAACAGGAAGTTGGCTTGGTTTTTTTTTCTTTTTCTTTGCTGTATCTACAGTGAACATGCACTAGCCTTTCTGCCCCCTCCTTGCTCCACCTGGTTGGTAGAAAGCATCTAAGAAAGCATGTCTGCTGCCATTTTAATTCATCTCAGCAGCCTTCTGAAGTTGGGATGCATTTTTCTTGCTCTGTAATGCCTCTTCCTTGTCTGTTTGAATCTCAGGGCCTTCTCTGAAGGTCTGTTTCATCCCTGTGCTAGGGATAGGATTGGATGTATCCTGCCTCCCAGCCTGCATTTTTTTTAGGTGTTTGTCATTATCTCTGAGAAAGCTATGTGTCTGAGATCTGTCTTCTATCAGTCTTGTTCCTTGGAGGGCTGAGTTTCTATCAGTCTTGTTCCTTGGAGGGCTGAGAAGGGATGTGATTGAGGATTATGAAATCTGACATAGGAGGGCATTCTTACTTATTTATATTGTATTTTCATACCTTGTGCATTGATTATTGGTAAATAACTTTATTGTGCCATTCTTGGTGCATGCCCAAATGAGGGTGAACATTGAAGCAATCTAGAGATTGCCCAGCTTGCCCTTTTTTAAAAAAGGAACCTGATGGTCTGTTTACTCATGCATATGCCTCTGGGCATTGCACAATACAAGGGAATTCCTCCCCCAAACCACCTACTTCAAATTCTTTTACTTGCAAGGCACAGCTATATGCCTTCTGTTAAATTACTATCAACAGTCTACTATATGCTTTGGTGTAGACCTATCTTGTTCTAGGTATCACTCACTCTTCTTTTCTCCAAGTTCCCAGCCTTTTTTTTTGTTTGTTTCTCTTAGCTGCCCTCCTATGCACCTTCTGTAACTCCATCATGTCTGTCTTGAGATGTGTGCACCATTCCAGGAATGCTGTTCTGTTCTTTTTCTAAGGCTATTCACAAGCTTTTCAGGCTGTTAAACATCACTATCAAGCTCCTATTTAAGAAAATATCTATCTTTCTGTTTCCACACTGGCTTTTTATCCATGCAACTGAACGCTTCAGTGAGGTCCTTCTCGCTTTCTGCTTTAAGGCAATTACCTTCCAACTTCTGACATCAGTGTTGATCCCTACTAACTAACAACTATTATGATGCTTTTGCCGCTCTGGTAACTCCTGTAACTTTTGTCTTTGGATCCACTTTCTAGATACTATTATTTTGCTGTAATAGGTAGATTTTATCTTCGCTTCCAGAAATTTTCACAAATTCTTCTCCAATGTCTTCTACTTTTTCTGTTGATTTGTTTTCTGTCCCAGCCATCCCTCTCTTTTCTGTCCTGTGTGTTTCAATAACAAACAATATTCTGGCACCTTCCACATTACTCTAAAAAGACCAAAAAGCCACTTGAATGGATTGAAAAGGTACTAATCACCTTCTCTAGAAAACTCGGTAAGGCATGGTCCTGTCTCTTGCCTCTGAAAAGCCAGGCAAGCACAGTGCTTGTACACAGTGATGCATGGCCTAGATGGAAGCATAGATTGTTTCCAGGAATAGACATATTGTCACCAAAAATCGGGAATGAAACTCCTTAACACTGGGTGTATTAAAGAGCAGGCATTACTTTATTCGGCGCCAGGTGCATGGGAGATCTCTCCGCCTAGCCTGCACACCGTACGTTGCATCAACCATCCCTTATATGGATCTTCGATATACATATGCATCCCATTTCTTGGAACAATCATACATATTCATTACATTTCCCAGAACTAAGTATAATATCTGCATAGTCTTTCACGCATGCGTTTTGAGTCCTTTAGGAGCTTCTACAGGGGTCTCGGGTGGTTTCTAGTGGTCTCTGGCGGTCCCTGCAGGAGGTGAACTTTTCCTTACGTGGTCACAAATTGGGTCATCACCGCCCTTTGTTACAGTTCTGGTTGTCCTTGTCTGGTTTCTGCTAGTTCTTATCCATCTCACGATGTGCTCGTTAGCTTAGGCCTTGTGTGCTTGACGTATGCTTGATTAATCCAGCTGTTTATCTCACAACTATTCACAACAATATGACACAGCACAGACACATTTTGTTTGGTTTTAAACTTTTTGGAACCTATGCTTAATTCCAAGGAGATGGATTCTACCCTGTACTCCCTCCTCACTTATCTTGCTGTCTTGCCTTTTCATCTTCCTTTGCTACTTAGACTTTTTTTTTTTTAGCTCACTGACAGAAAATAATAAGTGTTTCTTTACCTGCTTTCTGTAAATGTGTGCAGTGAAGGCCAGCTGTTTGTTCCTCTTTGTATATTAGTTCTAAAGTAATTATTTTTTTCCAGTGGCATTTCTATGCAAATCTGTAATATAGGCCATGTTTTAGATGTAGATGAAAAACTCGTCTTAATCAAGAATGTTGTTTCCTTTCTCTAGATGAATTCCTTCCTCTGCTTCTTCTTGTTTGCTGTGTTAATTGGTCGAAAAGAACTCTTTGCTGCATTTGGTTTCTATGACACCCAGCCTACCCTGATAGGCTTGATGATTATTTTCCAGTTTATTTTTTCACCTTACAATGAGGTAAATTGTTTTCAAGGCATAGATGCTGAAGTATCATCCTATTTAAATAATGATATTATTTTGACTGGGGGGGAAAGCTTGAAGTTTCTAGGGGTAATTAAAACAATCTGGTAGCTTGTTTTAATAAGTAGGCTTAGTGCTCCATGTTGGGTAAGACTCCCAGTTTCAGGTGTGGCCTCGATAAACCTTAGGGAGATCATTCTACAGCCACAGTGATGTGTGGGATGTGGGAAGGAAGATACAGTAGTATTAACTGATACTGTAAGGAACTTGCAGATAGCTGAATTTTAAAATAATTTTTATCTATCTGGTAGCTTGTTTTAATAAGTAGGCTTAGTGCTCCATGTTGGGTAAGACTCCCAGTTTCAGGTGTGGCCTCGATAAACCTTAGGGAGATCATTCTACAGCCACAGTGATGTGTGGGATGTGGGAAGGAAGATACAGTAGTATTAACTGATACTGTAAGGAACTTGCAGATAGCTGAATTTTAAAATAATTTTTAATATATTTCTCTCCACAGGTTCTCTCATTTTGTTTGACTGTATTAAGCCGACGATTTGAGTTTCAAGCAGATGCATTTGCCAAGGAACTTGGGAAGGCTAAAGACCTGTATTCTGCTTTGATCAAGCTAAACAAAGATAATTTAGGATTCCCTGTTTCTGACTGGATCTTTTCAATGTGGCATTACTCCCATCCACCCCTTTTAGAAAGACTTCAGGCCTTGAAAGATGCAAAGCAAGAGTGACAGGAATCATTGTTGGTTCAGAGACAGTGCTTCCATCTCAGAAGCAAAGTTCACAGCTGCTTTTTAATTTCTTTTTAAAAATGGATAATGCCAATTAAGTGCAATGTTAACAGCACCACAGATCTGAGAATCCTGAAACAGGTATTAAATTATAAATGACTTTTTTTAACAAAAACAAAACTGTGGAACTTAAAGTAGAAAAAGCACTGGGTGAAGACCTTCCCCAAACACACACTGGCTTTTATCTCCATATCATAGTATAGACTTCTAAAGGGAGAAAAACAAAAGTATAGACTTCAAAGCACCTATTTCTTCAGTTTGTGTATGCCTTGAACATTGCTTTTGATCCTTTTCCCATTCTCAGCATTCTGTGAACCTTCCCAAATCTCAACCCTCTTCACAATGAAGAGGATTTGAGTGACTTGATTTCTTGTATAATAATACTTGTACTCGCCAGTCACTGTTTTGTGTTTTAAAAAGCTGAATGCAAGTACAGGCCTTTCTCCTGGATTCATGTCTGTCGTAATTGAAAATGATACTTAATAAAACCTCCTGTCTCTGAAGTGTAGGAAGAAGGATGAATTACAGTTGAGGAAATGTACCATGGCTTCCTTAAAAATGAGCACTAGTTGGTATTTAGTAGCATTGTAGTGGGATTAGGCTCCTCCTCCACCGTGCTGCTGGGGGTGTGGAAGGATGTTATGGAGAATCAGAACAGGACCCACATGTTAGAGAAAGTTGCTAATTCTCTGTTGTTCTCCCTTTTGCCTGTGAGTGGAATGGTTAACAGCTTTTCCGCACCTCAGTTCCTCCATTTCTGTTGTCCTTTGCCTAATTTTTTTGTGTATATGGAAGTGTCCAGTTGCTCAGACAGTGTATCAGAGCTGAACTTTCATTCTGAGGGGGTTTGTCCTCCACTCCGTGGAGGGTTTTCCATTAATATGAATCTAGCTGAAATAGCAGTGTTGGAATACTTAGAAAATATTCCTCATTGTTTTTCTGATATAAATAGCCCAAGACACAGTTTGTTCATATAGGTTAGTGAAGGACAAAGTGAAAATTGCGAAAATGGCTTCTGCAGTGATTATCTCAGATTTTTCTGATGAAAGGTGGAATTAAATTTACTTTTGTTGACATAAAGATAAAAGTTAAATATAAGTTTGTATGTGCCATACAAATGTTTTGGACCAGACTGAATGCACATACTTCATATAAAAATCAGATTTTATATCTGTGGTAAATTAAAAAGTTCTGCTCAGCTATGTACAAAGAGAAAAGTCGTCAAAGCAAATTCTCATTGCTTCAGATGTCAGAGTGTTCTCTGACTTTACTGTTAGCTTAAATTTGCTTTTCTGATCATAGGGAAAAATGCCTTATAAGATGATGGGCATGATGATGTCTCAGGTGCAACAAGATACAAGATGTTGCTGGAAGCCCTTTGTATGCCTTATTCTAATTGTGTTTATACCCTAGCAAATATGAAGCTGAACTATAGATATGGACTTAGGAGACAGTTTTACAAACATGGGGAGCCTATATTTGTCATGTTAACTGCATTTAATAAATGGCCCTTAAAATTAAAAGGATTAACTTGAATCTGTCAATTCAGAAGAGTAAATAAATGTGTCAAGTTTTGAGTTTGAGATGTTGGTTGGTGTAAACCTATGGAAAACATGTTAAATGTGCTCTGAGGAAACCATTTGTCTCACCCATTAGGTAAAATTTACACTCAAAAACGAATTTTTGAAATTTAGCCAGAAATTTGGCTAAACACAAACAAAAGGAGAGTAAAGTGGGATAATGAAGGAAATGCCAGTTCTTATGGAAGCATCAAATACTTGAAATACTCAGGCTTACAGGCGAAGATAGTGTTGTTACAGCAATTGCCTGTTGCTTCCTTTTCTTCCCTGTCACTGGAGTTGATCTCTGCAGTTCTCCCAGCTGGATTTTGTCATCTAACTCCTCTGAACAAGGGTTCAGAGCTGGTTCCAGTCCGCTCCAGTCGCTTCTCAGCACTGGCATTGTTGGTGTCTGCTGTTGACCTTCTGCCTGTCCATATACTACTGTGCAGACATCTGGAATGCATCAGCTACGCATCGCAGACCTTCTACAGCCTCTGGTTGCTTCCTGTGTTCCTGAGAGTGGTCAAAATCACACCTAAATCTTTCTATGCAGCTGCTGCCTTCCCAGGTATCTAAATCCTCCTACAGTGTCTACACAGCCACATGACAAGCCAATACAAACCCGCTTGATGACAAGGTATGTCTACTAGGATCAGCCACACATCCCTTCTGATTAATGACCAGTTTTGAGGAGAGAGGCAAGAAAATTAGGTAAATTAGGTTAAATTAGGTAAATTCTGTTACCTTTAGCTAATAATGTTCAACTATTCAAGGCAAGGGAACCCAGAGCAGAACATCTCTGGCAGTACGCTCCACACAGGCATCTGTGGGGCTGGTGAGCACTGATCAGCAGTGTCCTGCCCAAAGGCCGATAGCTTCAGCTTCCCATTCCCTGCCTCACTAGCTTTTTCTGGTGGTGTAAGTAGAAGACTGAGAGAGGACATGGCGAGGAGAAGTCCAGCCTAGACCTTGGAAGGAGACAGGAGGAGGACTAAAATTGGAATGCTTTATGTAAATAGGCACAAATGTCTCCCTTTCAGCAGCCTTGGCATGTTTCAAGGGACTCCATGAGTCGTGCTGTGGACATACTTATGTCCACACGGGACCGCTGTGGCCACAGGGCTTCTCACTTTTCTTCGTCACCAACAGGTCCTGCCGCTTTGTATCTGGATTAGATGTGTAGGCAGGGAAACCGTGGAAGAGATGCGTGCACAGGTAAATTTGTCTGATGGCATGAAAGTGAACTGACGTGCATTGTTTCAGCTTGCTGAAGTGATCTAATGGAGGCACTTGGGAGGCTTGCAGGAGACAGACCTGATAATGAGCTCTGTGAGGCCAGGCGAGTAATCGGGGGCTCCCCTGCAACATGCCCCAGTTAAAAGTAATAATTTGTGAACTCAAGGCAGCCATTATGTCTGTAGGAACAGCGAGGGCTACAGCACGGAGGCACTGCCGGCAGCGAGACAGACGTGGTTCCCGTGGCCTCCATCTCCGGGCGTCCCGCTGCGATCCCCGGAGATGCAGGTTTGAGGTGGTCTCACAGCCGGTGTTCCGCTTCCGCTGCTTTGCCGGCTG